TAAAAAAATATGAAAATAAAATTTAAAAAAGAAAACAACATAAAATTATTAACATCCTTATCTATTCCTAAGGACAATAATATGACCAACACTTAATTATCTGTGGGGACACCAGAGCTGCCTGCATGTAGAGTCAGCCTGAGTCCGCTGGACTCACTGACGGCAGGCACACTGCCACTCCAACGCAGCCAGCCCTGTTTCCAAAGCTGGCTGGGGCGGGGCTGGAAGACACATTTTCCTGGCGAGTAAGGCCCAAGCTAATTAACTGTGCAAACCTAAATAGACATCGTGTAAATAACCAGGAGCGCCCAAGTAGTATGTAATGGAGACAGAGCATAGTGGCTGTTCGCAAAATAACTCCAAGTCCAACAAGGCTTATTAAGGTCTGGCCCAGCACCAAACTCCAGCTGAGTCCTAAGATGAAAGTCCATCATTACAGTATCTTGTTTTCCAATATTCAGAATATCAAAGCATCCCCTTCATACTAAATAATATGCAGTTGACTGCATGGCAGAATGTGTATTATTAGGCTGTTTTTTTAAATCCAACGAAGATCACCTGCTAAAGAGACTTCCTAGTGGAATTATTTTTGTTTCAGATTATAAAATATATTTCCTAGAGAGTTCAATTCAATTAAAAAACTCCCACTTTTTCTAATTTATTTACTATTTGAGGACCACTAGAGGGAGTGCATATACACTAAATTTGCAGTAACAGGCAAACAGCCACATGAATGTTAAATCGCAACCTACGCTACACAGCGCAATGAAAGGACAAAGAGGCTAAAATACACGTATACGAATCAATCCTCCTGGACAAAAAGACTTGAATATTTAGTCACCAAGTATTTTTCCAACACTCCATTTACCTGCTTATCCATAGGGCAGCCCTGTAATTTACAGGGTATCACATCTCCTTCTGTAAGAATGTAAATTATATATTCTATACACTTGATTCAGTAAGTAGTAAAATCCCCAATACAGCTGCCTTCCCACTCCCCCGCCCTTTTTTTATTATTAAACAGGGAGAATGACTAATGGAATAGGCTATCACAGAAAGCAAGTGATTCTCCATCCTCTATGCCTTCCTTCAAACCATTACCAGAAATCTTTGGGGAAGGAATCAAGTGAAATTCACATTACCTGGCTAAATAAAAGCATAATCCAATGAAATTTAATGGTCAGTGATAGACAGGAGAATAAACAAAGTGATGCAACCATTCCCTCTGGCATTAAAGAAATAATAATCAACAAATGAAGACTTTTTTTAGCCTGGCTACAGTCAAGTCATGGCTAGTAGCAGCCAATTCCCTGGGCTAAGAGAGGCAAAGACACTCTGCTTCTAGTGCGAACAAAGGTCTGCTCTTCTCAACAACCTAATCATTCCCTGAGTTCCCTTATTACAGCTCTTATTTTATATCACAAGGCACATAAAACAGCAGAGCCGAAAGCTGAAGCAAGACACTCAAACGAAGCATGCTACTTGAAATACTTTCTAAAAAGGGTATCTTAAGATCTTTACAGAGCTTGTGTCAAAGTCAAACCATGCTCACTCACTATTTCCCATAAAATAAGAACTGGGGGCACCTCAATCTAAAAAGACAGCAGGATTAAAGTAAATAAATAAATACGTACCCTAATATCCCCCTCAGTTAGGAAGCACTTTCTTCAAATAATAAATATTCTGGGGGAAAAAAAAGCTTACAGCCACACTAAATGAATCCCAAAGGTATTCAGAAAAGGATCAGATAAATTGAGAATAGAGCTATCATGAACTTTTACACAATACTCCCAGCAACTCTAGCTCAGGCACTGAGACACAAAAGTTGGAACAGTAAACCTGCAAAAGGATTACCCTATACTCAAACAGGCTTGCACACCTCTTTCTGTGCTACAGGCTGCTCTAACAAAAGTGTACAGGTCCTCTGACCTGTCCCAAGGATGGCCTTAATGCTTACAGCTTTATTTTTTGCTACACTCAGAAACCAAGCTCTTCGAGGCCTCTTAAGTTATGGGAAAGGTTCCAGGAAGCGCTTGGCCTATATGATTAAATCCAGGGGGCTTTTGAAGAAAGAGAACACCACCACAGGAGCCCAAAAGTTTTAAACACAAAGCCAGAAGAGATATCACCAATGTAATTTTTTTTTTAAATACCAGTGCATATCTCCTCCTCTCAAAAATGAAAAAAAAAACCTGAGATTTTCCCATTGATTTCCATGAATTTTGGGTAGGGCTGGTCAGCTGCACAGATGAAAGAACGTAACTGACTCCAGCAATCAATGTGCAAGAGGCAAATGCTGGCCACAGACAAAAGCAGAGGAGGAAGGAGAAGTAGCAAGACCTCCCTCATTTAGAGTCTCTGACACACTATAATTTCTTGAATAGCTCAGTGATTTCAGTAGTTTATCCTTCCTAACTGAAAAGTGACATCTAGGCAAGTGAATACTGGGATACTAGGAAAGTTTGTTCCGGGGAAACCACACACCTAACAAGGTAGTTGGGCAAGACCTGGTAGATGCTTCAAACTCACCAGTAGTCCAAGATGAGAGTGATTCAGGAAAACCCAGAACAAAGGGTAACAAACAACCAAATTTGAAAACCCAAATTTCTCTTTCATTCAGCTGAGCAACCCAAATACATGTACAGAAGGTATTACGAGTCGCAGGACAAGCAGGTATCTCCATCCAACGCAATTTGAAGAAAACACATAGCGGAGTGTGACTTCTCTTTAACGGGCCAAAAACAGCCATCACAGGCCGTCAAGCGGAAACCTTGACCCTGCAATTACCGGCACTTTCAGAGAAGTTCTCCTCAAATGCCAAGAAGGCCTTTACATCCAACCAAGGCTGGAGTTACAAGCTGTGAGAGGCAAGATCACTTCTCACTGTCGTCAATTGAGTGTTCTGCACAACAGCTTTTGATCTGGCTGGCGCTAACAACTGTGATAGAAATAACAGTCTGGCACTCTACTATGTCCTCATTTCAAGTAAAAAAAACAAGATCCCTTGAAGGCCCAGGTGAGTTATAAACGTGACTCTCTATGCTTTACAATAAGCAGACAAAAAACATCCCGTGGACGCAGAAGGCTGTTTCACATGGGATGGTGGGGGAATACTGCAATACTTTGAGGCCAAGTTTTAATATAAAGCAAACAATGATAAGTGAGTCAGAAGCAAAAGGAAATTAACTTTTTAAAAGACACCCAAGTGAAAGCAGTGTTTTTCAAACTGCAAAATATTAATAAACACACCTTTTCTAATAGTATGTAAAGTTAGTTAAATACAGAAAACCCCAAAAGAGTAATACAAAAGCTAGAGTAGCAAGTACCAAGAAGTACCAAAAAGCTATAGCCTCATTCTGTTTTGTCAGCTTTTAGTAAATTTAAGAAATAAATGTCAGGTAAGTGCAGTAACTCATATCCTTGTCCTAACAGTTCTCATACACTTCAAAGTAATTACAGAGATAAAAGCGAGACAAGATCTAAAAGAATAAGTGACATCTTTTACTAAGCTAACTCACACAGTTTAACGCACACATAAAACAAAAGCACACAACAAGGAGATAAGTTTTATGCACATAATGGCTTCCTGAAGTACAGTAAGAGCTGCTGTTTTCGAGTTTTAGCATCTTCATTTGTCTGTCAAGTTATAGTTAAGATTGTATGCTTCAAAGAAACTAGTAAGAAGCATGTTTTTGCTTAGGATAAGAGAATCCTACATACATAGTAGCTGCATCAGCTGTCTCCTGTTGAATTAGGACAGCACTAACAGTAACACCAGTATATGTGTCA